ATCCACCCCCCCCCCCCCCCAAATCACACATATGACTACTACATATTAGCATCCACACAATTAATAGGAGTCACTACTATTCCTATCTATGAACCATTTATAAATTTGCCAAACGGAGGCTTAATTTGTTGTTAATTATGGAATATTTTAATTTCAAATAAATAAACAACAAAATATATCACAAGACATAAAAGATCACCTTTTTGGAAACCAAGAATTTTTGAACTATTTTTCCCCCCCTCTCAATGAATTTTACCTTGGCGAGAGTTTGGTTAGAAGTTTAACACTTCCCATCCTGGGTGCAAGAGAAGGGTGTAAACTATAAAGTGCCTGTGCTGTTATTTTCTCTAGCAGAGGAGCACTGAAGTCCATATTGTATCATAATTCATAATTTATAGTCACAATGTTGTCGAATATATATTGTTCTCTTAGGCATCCTTTTCTTTGGATCAACTTGTACTTTTCCGTACAATATTATCTTCTTCTTTCTTGTATTCATTTATCAGTCACCTGACTGAAGTTGGCTGATCATTTTCATTTATATACTTCCCTTTTCCCATCAAAGCCTTGAAAGTTTCAAGTCAAGTTTGTCCTGATAATTTTGAGTATGACTAGAAATAAAGGTGACTTGCTAATGCTATCAGCCTGTCACTGCCCGTTGCCTTTTTTATTTTTTAGCTCTCAGATGGTCAAACCTAAGCGAACTAATTCTGTTAGTTATTTAACTCATTAACGTTATTTAGTAGGTAGGAGGGTCATCCGCTATTGATATAAATGGTATAAAAACTTTTGGGTAGCTATCATGGTTACTCATCTCCATTTATCGACAATGTGGAACATGTAAATAATGTAAATTGGAAATGCGAACTTACAAGACCTGGACAAAGTGAATCCAAATTTTAAGAGAGTAATTTTCACTATAATATGATCAATTTTATAGAGTATCTTTTAGGCTTGTTAATATTGAATCAAGTTTGAGAGGACAACATATTATCAGTTTACATCTTTTCTTCAATTTGCCCCCCACCATGTAGGCATGCTTATTATTATTTTTTTTTTCCCATCAAATCCTTACACGTACACAATATCATAAAACTTGAACTTGGACCTTTGCGTGCACTGATGTCATGTACAATTAGTCAATCTAAAAGTTTGAGTTGTTAGAGAAGATCACAGATATATCATTTAAATTTTGTCTTCAACCATTCAAAACTATACTAATTAAAAAAGTTTTGTTAGAGAAGACCCAAGGTATATCATTTAATTATTGTCTTTACCTGTTCAAAATTATAGTGAATTTTAGTTGAGTAAATGTTGCTGATGTTGCCGTTGTAACGACCCAAATTTTCTTCCTTTAGGTCATTAGAGCGTATTGTAAAATAAATGTTTTATAAAAGATAATTGTTCTTGAACTTAAAATAATAATAATTAAAAATAAATACTTTATCATAAACATTAAATTATTATTCGAAAATCTTTTTTCTTTTTTCTTTATTATACCACTAGAGACCTGTTCCAAACTTTAACACCTTACCTGAATGGGGGGAAATCATAGACAATGAGATAAAATCCCAATAAGTGGCCACATAAATTGTAATTCATATTTAAAATTTAGGAATTCTTAACGTACATAAAGAGACAGAGGGATTAAAAATCGAAGTTAGGTGGCCATAATCTCCATACATAATCATAACATCATAGGGAGACACGAGAATTAAGAATCGTACTTCGTTGCTATATTTCCCGTGCGTAACGCTACTAAACTCTAATCGTTTGAACTTAAACATATAGGACCTATCATATTCATAAATTGGAATTCTGTCTTTTAAAGTATGAAAAACGATTTAACATACAACGCAGGGACGAATCCAAGGGTTGAGTTCACTAGGGTGGACCAGCATTGAAAGCTTACTATTGACGGCCAACGTTCGTGATAGCGAGGTTGTTTATTAATATTTAATTAAATAATATTCAAAAAAATCGTACGGATTAGAGCTAAAAGAATTAGATAAACCACTAGAATTAGAACTATGTACGAATTTTCATTTTGGATGAAAAATCGTTCAATAATCTACAAAATGCTCTAATTAAATTTTAATTAAATAGGCAATATATATTAACAAAATGTCAATATTCAGTTTACAATTAAAGTTAATTAAATTAGCATTATTGTATTAACAAATTGAAATTATTTATGTGCTTATATCAATTTTATGTGCTTGTATGATTCCACTTTTTCGCAATCGCCTTTTTTTTGTGAACAAAAAGTGGAACCTTTTATTAATTAAATAAGTTTTATTGAAAGATTCCTTATGACATTAAGGTCAATTTTCCTACAAATTCATCCACCATTAATTCACCAAATTCTCAAATCAATTGATTTGAGGGGAAAAAATCAAGAAGAGGGACAAAGCATTAGTTTGAACGTTTCTACTTGCATTAGACCTGTAAAATTGAATATATATTATTTTGTTATATTATGTGCTAAAAATCAATAAGTCGTTTGATGGTAAAGTGGTCAATATGTTTAAGAAAGGTAGCAGTTTCGAATCACCTTCCTTGCATTCGTTTTGGTAAAAATTGTTGAAATACAAAAATTATGAAAAATATTGCTCTTGAAGAGTTTCGTACGTGACCTCCAATTCAATAATGGAATGGCTAAACAGCTGAGCTACCAGAGATTTATGTTGTTAAGATGAATTATCAAATATATAATTTAACAATTTTATCTATTATCAGGAAAAAAATTCTCCCTGGCAAACCCGCCCTAGCTGGCCGCCCTTGATACAACATATGACTACACTTACCTCATAAATTTGAAGATGATTTGATAAAATACGTACGGAAGAACTTGGACCTTAAACAACGTTTATGAATTATGTGTAGTGTGTGACAATCATAGTTATACACACACATATATAAGGGTACACATAATTATGGAAATCATATAACTTAAATCAATCAATCATAATTATATAGACGTACGTAAATTATAATAACACTATAATTTAAATCACTCATACATAGACGTAGTAATACTATATTTGAAATCAATCAGCCATAATTATACAAACATAGACGCACGTAATTATAGTCATCACATAATTTAAACTAATTAGTCATAATTATATATAATTACACATAGAGTAATCTTATTTGCAGGCGCTCACTGTTGTAGTCGTCCTACATGGCAGATATGTGGCAGTTAGTAATTAAATACATTAACGTGGTAGTTTTTTATTACTATATGTAATAAATTATTAACAGTCACATATATGTCACGTAGGACGATTACGGTAGTCGGCGACTGCAAATAGTATTATTCTTACACACATATATTAACATATATATGGTAGTTTACTTATTTAGTAAGTAATCTTCCTAATTTATCTCTCATGTGTAAAGAAGTTTACTTAATTCCATCCAATTTCTCAATATATATACACACACACACACGGTAGTTTACTTATTTAGAAACGAATCTTTCCATAATCAATAATATTATGACCCCGTTTGGTACACATTAATATAAAAATGAGATCGAAAAAATATAGCCGTTACGGGTCCCGCACAAGAGATAGAAAGTCAAATATGGTGATTTGATGTGATAGATAACGGTCATATTTTTCATTTTAATGGGCAAATAATTGAAAACAAATGGAGGTTATATACATGTATAGATCACGTAATTATAGTAATCATATAATTTAAATCAATCAACCATAATTATATACAATTATCTATATCAATACACATATACCATAAATATCATAAATATATAGTTTAGGAGATTGCACTTGTAGTCCCTCAACTATTGTTCGATGTGCAATTTGGTCCTCTAACTTTCATACTTTTAAACTAAGGTCCTAATTTTTCATAATTAACGATTATAAAAGATTTGGGGTATTATAGCCAAGGTAAATTCTCATAGCTGACAAAAAACTGATTACCAACTGGATAATAGAATGAGAACTATCAATTTTTATATTTTGATCACTTTGGAATACATTGTAAACTTGCAAATTTATATTTTTGTCTCTCCTTGCACACTCTTGTGTTTTGGATGATTGGTGTCTAATTTACGTGGAGTGTAAATAACCATTAATGTGTTTCTGTCAGTTGTTTGGTTGGTAAAATCCTTGTGCGTGGCCACATCTGTGTTTTTCAGGATTCCTGTGTTACCATTTCCTTTTTGTTAATTTTCCATCTTGTGTGTCTGGTTTCTCATATTCATGGTCTTGGCAGTGTTGATTTGAAGAGCATGCAAGCTGAGAATTCAGGCAATGTTATTCCTCCCACGTCACGTTCATCTAACTATATTGCGCTCAGATTTTGTGATCCCCCACTGCAAGCTGTAAGAGGAGTTTATATGCAAACATTCTACATATTTAGTCTTTGGACAATTAATTAGCCTATAATATTAGAAGTCGTAATTAGAATACAAGTTCTTTGTCACGATCTGGGAATCCTTGAGCAAGGAAGCGGGGGGACACTGAAACCTTACTGATGAATCAGCATTTGCTTCTACTCTATAGCCATTCTAGTTGCCTTGAGGATTTTAATTGGTATAAGCAGCATTGAAAATTTGTAACTGAATTTACTCAGTTGTGTACCTTTGTTGTGAATTTGTTTCCCTTTCTGTTTCCTGGCGCTACAAAGTCTTACAATGTGATTGATGAATGTACAGAGAATGCTATGGAATTTGTAGGCAGTGGATGAGATCTCTTTAACTAAATTTTAGAGTTAAGAGTTTATTTTAATCTGTATTTCACTGTGAAATACAAAAGAAATAAGAAATTCACTGGATTATTCTTTATGAGGACAAAGTTTACTAGCATGTCGTTTCTATTTTCTAGTTCTATTTAATAACATCACCAAGGATGCAAACTTGTTTATGGGAGCATGGATTTGCGAGAAGACGGGAAAGGGGTGGAGGAGGATGTATTATTGGAGTGGAAGATAAAGTCAATCTAATATTGAAATCATATTAAATAAAATGCAACCCTTATAGATGTCCCTTTATGCTTCACATGCCACATGCAATACACTTCTTATGCATCTCAGTAAATATGTTCAGTAACAACAGTACTACAGTTTGGAGTATAGGTATCACATAATTGCCTGAACTTTAAGAATGAGGAGAAAACTGCGGCCACATAATCAAGCAAATAACAGATTATTTTATTTAGCCTTTTCCAATTCTGGAGAACTGTTTAGTCATTTTAAAGTTGTATCTTTAAGCTAGCTTCCAAGTTCAGCCTTGCACAAAAGCCCCTTTCCGTAAAGTGCAGGAAGTTAGAAAATATACCCACTACCCTTTGTATGTTTCCCACTCTCGGGCGATGGGAGAAAGTACACTAAATTTTGGCATCATGGCAGTATCTTGCTTCACTGGAGTAGAACTGACAATTCTTTGTTTGGTGTTCATTATTTTCACTTAATTCTTGTGTATTCTCTCTTTTTACATTTTATGGTTCAAAAAGTGGGGGTTTAATAGGGGGCAATCCTTATCTTATTTGAATCCTTCCCCAAAAGGACTTGAACTTGTAAGGAGGTTAGAACGTTGACCACTAGGGCTAGTGGTTTAACTGTTTAGTATGATATCTTTGGAGTTGAGACGTATTCATGGTACATATGGTTATTAGTTAAATAAGCTTATTTATTCGACCTTTAAATTTCTGATTTAAGTCATTCCTTCAATCATGCCACCAAGCTAAATGTCTGTTTAAGAGTATGTATTCTTCTTCCTTAATGGCTTTGGATTGAGTAAGTGAGATTGCTTTTAGATCAAATACTATACTTAAAAGAGTGTGAAAAAAGTTCGAAGAACTTTGTTTCTGTTGAATTGTCTTGGTATATATGCCTTGTGGAAAATTAACAATTCTTTTAGGGAAGCGTATTTGAAGAGAATGCTGGTTGCTGTCGTTACATGGTTGTCTTCCAATATGGTTCAGCAGTCCTGTTCAATGTGGAGGATCATGAAGCTGAATACTACCTACAACATGTTAGACGATATGCTTCTGGATTGCTTTCTGAGATGAAGAAAGATGGTAGGGACTCCTTTTAGTTTCTTGTTTGTTTTGCTGAACATCTTATGGTCTTTGTGCATGTTTTCCTATTGCTTTGTTCATAGATACTTTTGTAACTTATCATGGCCAAGGAATCAAATGTCCGGGATGTGTACCTCTCTTGCAGACTTGAACGGTCAAAATAAGCTGAAGAGTTGTCTCTCCAAAGTGAATCTTTTATGTAGAAAAACATTTTTATGAACCGAAAGAAGTAACAAAAAGGATGCATGTAGCTAATCTCACATGTATTGAGAATAAGCCCTAGTTATACCATTGGTGAACGTAAATATTGCTTTTCTTTCTCTTATTGTCAGTCAATATGTCTCATGATGAAAGTCAAACCTGCCTGGTAAGCTCGAGAGAGGGACGGAAGAAGAGAGAGTAGAGATTTCTTTGGGAAAAACAATAGCAAAATGCTCGCTTAGGATACGGTTTAACATAAGTTCGGGAGCTGCCAATAATAGCAAGGCAGAAGGGGGAAAAAAAAAAAAAAAAGTGAAACTACCAAGTAAGGTTAAACCCAATTGCCAATTACTTATAAAAGGCCTAGTGCTTTCAACCTTCATTCTGCTGTTTAGAATAATATGATTATTGTGTTCCGTAGTTTGGTTCGTCTCACATTTATAAACATTGTTAAAAATTTGTATAGGATGACCGTTCACTTTCCTCTGTGTCTATTGTTTTTTTCACTTTTCAGATAACAATGTGAATTACAGAAATATCATATTCTTCTTTTCTTTTTCCTTTTTTTCCCCATCAGATTATGCCATAAAAGAGAAGCCATTGTTGGTAGACGATATGCAGGGAGGTCCAGATCACATTATTCTGAAAAATCTGGACCTAGATAGTATTCGCATAATTAGCAGCGTGCTTGGTCAAAGTATAGCGCTGGATTATTTTGTCTCACAGGTAAATGGTTGGTTATGTTATATTTTTCCAGTGTTATTCCGTGTTTCTGGGGATCTTTTAAAGGTATGTTGTACTATAGGTATGTGGTCTTAATAAGCATAATTGCGAGTTAAAAATCTCTCTCGGTTTTAGGTTGATGGTATAGTTGAAGAGTTCACAGATATTAATCGTGGTATGGAGAAAAGTGGTACTTTCACAATGGATCGGAAGAAGCTCTTTCAACTTGTTGGAAAGGCCAACTCAAATCTAGCTGATGTGATTCTCAAAGTCGGTCTTTTTGAGAGGTATTATTTCCCGTAGATGTTTGGTCAAAATCCAAAATGTGGTTCAGCATTTCTGCACATCACGAGGCATAATGGAAAGGGATTAATCCATTTTACTTCATGTTTTGTCTATACGAACCGGTTGAACATTTGAGATGACTGACTCGTACAGAAAAGACATGGAAAGAAAAGTGTAAATTCGATTTAGGATTTTCCAAATCTTTGCTGTTTTGCTCAAGTTTGACAATCTTCAATGGCCTTTACCTAGAGTTCAATTAGTGCTTGTGTGGTAGTGCTTCCTGTGGAATGTATGGATAAAAAGTGTGTTAGACGAACATAAATTATAGTTTAAGCTTTTCCAAACATGTCCATAGTAAGGTCGAGCTTTCTCAAGAATTTATTGACGCCAAGGGTCATTTGCATCGTGACCCTCTTTGAATAGATGTCCAAATAATCTGGTTCTAAATTCATTGCAGAAAATTTACTACTAGAAGTTTTTATCAGAGTTAAAGCATCTGTCCTCATTCAACTACTCAAGCAACTCTTTAGTGGTCTCTGAGAAATCATAGAATCAACTTGATTAGTTAATTTTAAGGTTTTACATGATATTTTACTTGTAAGATGATCTGCCAGTATCTGAAGTCTCTAACTTTTGATTGATCAGATCAGAAATAGCTTGGAGAGATGCAAAATATGGGCAGATACTGGACTACCTTCGAGAGGAATACGAGGTCGCCCAACGATTTGGAAATCTTGATTATAAGTTAAAATTTGTCGAGGTACGCATAATCTACAACCCTCTCTCTCTCTCTCTCTCTCTCTCTCTCTGTTGGAATATAATCATGAATTTCTTGTATTATGCAGCATAACATTCATTTTCTCCAAGAAGTGCTTCAAAACAGAAAGTCAGATTTTCTGGAATGGTGCATCATAGTTTTGTTGAGTATAGAAAATGTAATAGGGATATATGAGATTGTTCGTGGATCGACCGGAATTGCAATATGAAAATGAAAAGCGCAATTTTTATTTTTATTTTTTACTTTTTTGGGCAGCAATAATACAAATTATTATATAGAATATTATTTTGTCATCTTCGTATTTCTTTTTTCCTACTGATTATGTTTCGGTGGCCTCGCCCTTTGTGTATTCTATTTTGTCATATTAATAATTCCTTTTGTTAGCCTTTAGATTTTTCGTACCATTATATTTCATAGCATGCTAAGAAATTTATAGTTGCGAACAGTGTTTTAAATTGAACGCATATGCTTTGCATATACCCGCATATGTTTGATGTTTAATTCGAAATGACTCGCATATATGGTATGCGCGTGATAATGTGGTCAACCCATTTCGTTGATCGCTATTCACGCTTAAACGTCAATGCACACATATTTGAGTTAAAATTGTGTTAAAATTATCCTAATAAAGTCCAAATTTTTTTAACTTAAAAAAGGCAAATTGAACAAAAAAAAACTAATTAACACATCACCGGAGCCCATAAATTATATATAGTAATTTGTAGGGTTTTAAAGTCTAAAAAAAATTAAAATCAAAAATAAATTTTTTGAAGGGTTGTAAACTATTTATTCAAACCTACTTCTTTTTCAGTTTTACTCTAGTTTTATTAGCAATTGATGCTATTAATGAACAATTTTGGGTTATTTATACTGCGATGATGAGGATGAGGTTAATAATGATATCCTACTATTTATAGGAGGTAATGAAAATTCTTGAGTTGAAATAAAGGAGTCCCGATAAAGATGATTTTACATTGGATGACACTAAAGATAATTTGGATGAATAGGAGTTTGAATTGAAATTCAATAAAGAGTTAGACGATATTTAGGATTTTTAAGTTGATATTAACGCCTAATCTAATTATAGAAATTGTTTACCATGTAACTATAGTATTTATAATTTTGAGTATTACATTTGAAGAATATATATAAAGTTCAAGCAATTCTAGTATTTATGATTTTGAGCAATTTTTTTTATGTAAAATTTGAATAATATGTATAAAGTAAGAATACATATTTTATTTTTTATTTTTTTTAGAATATTGAAAATAATATTAAAAATTGAAAAATGTATAGGCACGCATATTCTTATAATGCTTGATATTCGATCGAAACAGTGAAACGTATTGTTATGCATTTCACATTTTAGAACTTGAGTTGAGAATAAGAAATCACGCTATTTATATTTACATTATACAACACTTTACATTTTACTTTTCTAATTGTTTTTCATTTATTTATCCCTTCATAAGTTAATATTTAATCAAGTCTTGTCACTTCGTGTTTTAAATAATTTTTTGTTCATTTTCACTTTTTACACATTTATATATTTTTATTACATTTATATATTATTATATTTAAATGGTCTATGAAAATTTCTCGAACAAAAGAAAAAAAAATGATTTTTAGCTACAAAATGACAACTAATATAAAATATTATCTTTATTTTTTTGTCAAACAAAAATAAAATATTTATCATCATTTTTAAAGAGAACAAATGGAAAAAATAATAATAATATTTATTAATTAAAGACAAAAATAAATAAACGGGACGATAAATTCCTGCCTCGTCCCCATCCGATCCTTCCCTGACATCCCATCCACCTTTAACCAAGTATGTGAACGGGACAATGTGACAAAACTACCCAACGAGACGAGGGTAGAAATGGTCAAACCATCCCATACTGCCATGTTGCCATCCCTACAATAACATCTAAGAGCATCTCCAATCATAAAGTAAAATTTATCTAAATTGTATCTTTAAAATGGTCGAAAATCTCTCGAATAGAGAAATGCAAAGGAAATTCAAATTGTATATTTTGACAGAAAATACAAATATATATAGATCTTTTTATATCTTTTTTTTTTTACATGCATTAAAGGCAAAAAGTGAATTTAGATCTTTTTATTATAACAAAATTTGAAATTAGATCCACCGGATGTAAATAATGATACAAAAGTAATTTGGAGATAGTAATTTACATATGATTTTATTCCAGTTGTTATTGTTGTAATCTAACAATATAAAAAATCAATTAAACAAAGCTACAAAGAAAAATCCACTCCAAAACTCAAAGATTAACTCACAAAGCCGAAAGAAATAATAAATTATTAAACATAGCATAAATGGGAAAATTTCAATTAAAAATCAATTCTTAAGAAAATTTATATAACAAATAATTCTTCATGATCTTGATTCTTGATAATCGGTCACTTTAAAAGCAGCAAGAAATTTGGATTCTGAAGAAATATTGAACTAAAAATATATTTTTTCTTGTTTGGTTACATTAAAGCTATAAATTTATACCGTATTTATAAAATCATTTAAATTTGAATTTTGATTACCAATAAAAGGGAAGAAAAGAGTATGAAAAATGAAATTTTAACATAACATAATTTTAGGGTCTACTGTGTACATTTTGATGCAAGCAAAAAGAGGAATTTGAAATGCTTGAATTCACTACTAGTTGTAAAGACTGAATTGAGAATCAGATCAACCTAATTGGTTCTCAATAAATGATTCCAAAGTAGACCCATTTAGTAGAGCAGTGGGAATCGAACCAACCGAGTCTATTTGGTTCCGGTCCGATTCCACCAGTTCCAGGAAGAAGTGCCCACGGCCCACCACTATATCTAAAAGTGCCAAACAATACTCTCTTTGTAAGTTATGTATAAAACGAGCCTCGCCCATTGCCCTCCACTCTTAGAGCCACATGGCCCAAGATACCCATCTAGGCCCGTAGCCGAAATCCCACAACTTGAATGGGGCGGTCCAGAATTAAATCTCGTCCAAGCCCTACTATCTGGGTCAGCCCAACATCTCAAACGTCGTCCAATTTTTTAAGATGATATGGAACACTAATGGCAACTTTAAAGTTAAAACAGAGAGTAAATTAGTTAATTAATTAAGATTTGATGTAAGATTAATCTATATAGAATGTATTAAGCCCTCGTTTGAGCCACATTCTTATAAAAATGAGAATGAAAAATATAGTCCTTATGGCTCCACATAAGAGATAAAAAGTCAAATATGGTGGTTTGATGTGATAGATAACGGTCATATTTTTCATTTTATGAGAAAATAATGGGGCTCAAACAGGATCTAAAAAAAGACCCATCCATCAATTGTTCATTCAAATTTTGACTGAAGAGGAGAAAATATGGGATATCTAAAATTATCTTCAACCTAAAAATTGATCTTAGTTCAAATTCATGAATTTAGACGATCGAAAAATATTATCACAAAAGGTGTTCCATATCATCGCATATGATAGATAAATAAGGCTAGACTCTATCTGTTTTCAAGGTATCATACACACACATAATATACTAGATATACAATGTAACCATTTGCTGCACATCACTTCTCATAGAATTCATACAAGAAGTTGATGGAATATACGACAGACAAATATACTTGAAATTTAAAAATATAATGCTATAAACCAATTTAAAATATACAGTAGTCATGTTATATAATATGAATAGGCTCGTCAATTTGAATGTACAAAATATAATGTATAATTCATCTGTTACCTACGAATTACTTTATAGTCTATTTTTATATATATATTTTGTAGATCACACTATTTTGACTTTTAAACTTCGAAGCCTCCACGAATTCTATGATGCAGTCCAAAGGAGTTGAATGACCCTAAAGGAGGACAAGAGTAAGATAGCTTTAACGAGAAGTTCACAACCGGCTGGCTACCTGCTCAGCAAGGATACTATCTACTACTTGAAGGGATTAAAGTAGTCACACTTCAATCACCCAAAGATTAGGAGAATCCATAAAATAATATGATATTTATAGAGTATTCTAATTTATATGTATACTGAGTGGATAACTGTTGAAAGCACCTAAATAGTAAGCCTCACCCCAAGAAAGTGCTCTCTTAAAATGGGCAATAGAAGTGGTTTCTGGGGACCAAACAAGGCCACCTGCAATGATGCATAAAAAGGAGAGGTTTTTATGCTGTGGCTCTCGAAGCCCACATCTGCTGCTTTCGAGTGTATTGGACCAAGGCCGTAACTCTCATCGTGGGGAATTCTTGTGGTTTATCACTCGTCTTATGTCAGCCAATGCCATTTATCACCTCAGTTTGAAAGAAAAATGGCAAACATTACAGGTAGCAACAAGAGAGCATCAACAATCGAAACATAAGATGCAATTACATCCTTCCTCAGGACTTGCATAGCACTTGGCATTATCAGGAAAAAACCATATACTGCAATCTTGTATTCTATCCTAGAATTCGCAATGAGTAAGCATATAAAAACAAAGAAAGTTAAGAAACAAGCAGGAGAAGCCTATATATTGAGATTTCATTGCTATACTATGCTATACTCTACTGGTGTCCATCTTCCAGCTTTGCAAATGAATTCTTGCTATTAATTGCATCTTGGTTCCATCATATTCCATCATACAAGTAACTGTGCGCGTCTTTCATTTAAGGTAAACGTTCCGTACCTGGTACAATTTTTACTAGCAGATGGCGTTAAACTAAAAGCCATCACAAGATAGTAACCTACAAAAATATGAAAAAACAAGTCCTGAACAACATCAAGAAAATACAGTTGCCTCAACTTACCTCTCGTTAGTTAATCATATGCGACCATTACGGAGCATCGCACGGTTTACTTCAAAAGCCAGAGGATCTTCAGAATTAACTTTTTGTCTGGCTTCAGAAACTACATCATCGAATTCTTCCTGGTTAAAGCATATCCTTTGCAAGAACAAGCTTCCTCACAATACCACTCACCAAAAAAGCACTGACATCTACTGCAGGAAAACAAATTACAGAGATGTAAGTGGGATGTTCAAATTAGAACGGGCAGAACTTTAAATTTACTTACAGATCCAAGCAACGAGTCTTGTCACAGCGGCAACGTTTGGAAATGGTATTATTCCCAGAATCAAAAGGATTCTTCCTGGAGAAATTGGAAACAGATAGATTCTAGTAAAAAATAGGGATGACCATTAGAACTCTTAGCTTGTAATATAATGGTAAATTGAAGCTTGCCTTTTCTTTTCTTGTTGCAAGCCACTGCCTGAAGGTTTGTGAACTTCTGCAGGAGGTTGCACCCGCCAGGCAATGTTAGCCCTTTGCTCACAACTAGGATTTGCTGGCGTTGATTCTGGGACCACTGAGTCTGCAGGAAAGGCAGAAGGACTTGAACTAATCTCATTACTGCCTGAAGGATTCTGAGCAGGTATATCTTCAGTATGGAGACTACTTTGGTGATCAACAGCCTAATCAAGAACCGAAAATATTTTAGCAAGATGCAGAAATTTCTGAAAATTTCTTTTTATAATGTCATACAAATATTCTTCTTGTTTGCAATTCCAAGTCCATTCGTAAAACCTATCATAATCTGCAGAATATTGGTGAGAGCTACCCAAGCAAAAATCAGAAATCCACCCCAAATTATCAAGAAAAATTATCTCAATTCACATACATTTCCCACGCCCCATTGCCAAACTCACATATATTATATATACACTATTTAATGTATCTATACACATATGCACGTTAATGTATGTAGCGATAAACAATATGTTTATGTACATCAGTAGTGTCAGAGTCAGGGGCGATGGCGGTGGGAGCAGTGTCAGAGTCAGTGGTGGTGATGGCGGCCGCTGCGGGGGCACCATCGCGGCTTGAAGATTCACGCAAATCCATTTTCAGAAATTTTTTATTGATTCCTCATCTGAGATCAAGAAATCAATTTCAAGAAAAAAAAAAAGTTGCGTAAGAGAGGATATGAGAAAAAATATGAAGGAAATATCAGTGTTTTAAATTGAGAGGGAAATTCTGTTACTGTGATTGGGCCAAAATTGTTGCTAGGCCCAAACACAGACTGACAAATCCAATAACAAACATCCATGAGAATGGTTCGATTCAATCATTTGGATACTATCAAGAACTCGGATCTTAATTTTCTCGATAAATAACCAAAACGGTAAATCTAATCGACCGTTAAGGGAATGGAGGGTGCAATGGTCGAAAACTCTCTGATTCTTAAATTAGCTCAAGTGCATAATTTCAGAGTGGGATTGATCTAAAACTATGTGCCATTTCGGAAGGAATTGATCCATTGGTATAGGGGCTTGGGATCCATCATCGCCCCCACTCACTTCAAGTAGCTATAACATTGCATATATGAGTTCTTTTCCTCACTCTTTATTAGTCAATTAGAGCGATATATGATGGTAATCATTATGTATATAATAGACCTTGAGCTTAGATTGTCTTATCAACGATTCTGATTGATGATTGAATTGACATTGCGTGTTCTCCGAAGTCTTTCTATTATAAATGTAATCTTGATTCAGATTTCTTAGTAATTAAACCCCTTACACCTTCGAATGGTGAAGATCAAGATGCAAATTCATTACACTCAATTATTTGCATTAAGCAATTCGTAGGATAACTTCAAAAATATGACCCAACAAAAGCTCGATCTTCTGTTATAAGTAGGGATGACAATGGGGCGAGTATGGAACGGGTTGACCATTCCCACCCCCGTTCTGTCGGGCATTTTTATTATCTTATCCCATGCCCATACTCGATTAAAGTAGGACAAGGCGTGATAGGTCATCTGCCCCATTTATTTATTTTCTTTTTATTTTTTATTTGTTGCTTTTATTTTTTTATGTCCTTAGTTAGTAAATATTATTATTTGATTACTAATTTGTTAAAAAAAAAAATTTATGTTCTCTTTAAAAATGATGATAAATCTATTATTTTTGTTTGATAAAAACTTTCATTTGAAATTAAATTTAAACGGGATGAGTAGCGGGGCAACGACTATGTTTTCCGTACTAGCCTCATACCAATTTCGGGGCAATGAACCTCGCAATGTAGCAGCGTATTAGATATATGTACCAAAAATGTCTGTTTAAAATAATTATTAAATAAATGTATATAAAATGCTATGGATAGATCCGAAACCGAATCAAAATCGACGGTTCGGGTTTGGATTTGGTTCTAGTATTTACAAAAATCTGAATGGTTCCATTTACAAAATACCCGAAGCATAATGGATGGTTCTAGGTATTGAAATACTTGAATTGACCCACCCGATGCTCAGGCCTAATTTTGATTATATGATGTGTACTATGGATATATAACATTCAAATTTTATCTAGGAAAGTAGTTTATTTAAACTATGATTTAAGGAAAATGATTCAGAGTATAACATAGATTTTTTCCAACAAAAACTTGATTCAAAATGTGTAGAACAAAATTGGAAAAAATGGTGAAAACTGCGAAAGGTGCTGGCGTGGGTCCACAGGACCTTGATCTACATATGGCTGATAGTTATTGGTTGGGGCCACGAAATATTCCTGTGAATTAGGTGCACCTTAAAATTTCTGTGTTTGGTCAAAAACCCAGATATCGTAACTACCGTGGAGACCGCAGCAGCATAAAGATTCTCTGTGGATACTAATGTGGGGTCCTCTGGCTTTTGATACGACCATCTGCAACAAGTTGTCTCATAATTGTTTGGTAAGATTGAACTGACCTTTTTTAGTCGTTGTTTGGTGAGAATTTTTCAAAATTATTTTTCTCTAAGACTATGTTTGATAGCTCAATTTTTTTCATGAAAAATGAAAAATAAATTTCAAATTCACTTTTGGTCTTTTTATTGGCGATGAACTTTACAATTGGGAAAGGAAAACAACGTGCCTCCAAGGGGCGCAAGCACACGAGTTACAGAAAAGGAAGTGTTTAAGTCTAAAAGTTAAAGGAATGAAAATTACATATTCTCTGTTCGAGAGTTTTGGATTCGGTCCTTTGCTTCTAAATTCTTTCTCCCTTTTATACTTCATAGGCGATCCCTTTGTGATTAACTGCTCTAAAAAACTGCTTGATCGCCCTATAACTACTCACTTTCTTTGTAGTGGTCATTTTGTCATGAAACTGTCCTTTTAACTGCTGCCATTATCTTGTATCGTTCAACCGCTTTCGATTGAACCCCTTGAGTCGTGGAACGTGATAAGGTTACTTTAGCAACTGCCTCAATAACTGCATTTCTTGATAATCATAATGCGTTATGTTTGTTGATACCTTGGGCGATTTGAAGATTTGGGCAAGACTCTGGGCGACCGTATGTCACTCTATTCGTTCAGATTCTGAGCAACTTGCAAACTTGGGCGATGGCGTTACCGCACTATTGGGCCCCTTATTTGGGCATTCACCTTGATTCGTTCAATTGGATTTCGTTCTTTGGCCTATCTGATTTGGGGATCCTCCAATTGAGCTTTACTCTCTGGGCTGTTCGATCTGGGCTGAATTTTTATGTGTCAACAATTACCCCCCAATATGGCAGAATTAATAATAATTATTGAATTTTGCCATATTCACTTCACGTCT